ACAGCACAGCACAGCACAGCACAGCACAGCACAGCACAGCACAGCACAGCACAGCACAGCACAGCACACTGCACTGTACATCCTTTTTTTGTATTAATTTCTTCATTCCTGTTTTTGACGATTTTCACCATTTTCGCAGCGTGTTCCATTGTATCCTGCAGCACACGTACATGAGTAACCATTGACCTGATCTGTACACATTCCGCCGTAAGACATAGATTACTAGAACACTCGTTGATATCTGAAAAGGGATGATCTCATTATTTTGCACAGTCCTACGAATATTTTATGAGGTAAATATAAAGTACTGGACAATTGGTACGAAAAATGGGGGTTCAACCAGAGATCGAATGGTTCGAAAGACAGAGCAAGGTGCAGGGACGTAGTAGGTGGCAGGAAAATTTCGTTTTAGTCGTAGGACGGCTGTATTAAACCCTATTCCCCATCGGGGATAACATTCGGCATGTTGTGGGTAAGGACGGTGAGTGTCAAAGAGTGCTTTTGTTGCCCCCTCTTCTTTGCATATAACAAAACTGAGGGGGGAGGTAGGAGGGGGTTCATTTGTTGATTCAAGAATGGACATCCCTCCGGATGGGGAATCCTGGCAACGACCCTAAATTGCAAGACATGTGGGATTATTTGATTGTACATTAACAAAGCAAAAAGTAAATTCATATACTTACTGTTTTCGCAGTTTGTTCCGTTAAATCCTGCTAGACATGCGCACATGTAGCCATTGAAATCATCTACACATGCTCCATTATTACGACACGGGGTGCTTGCACATTCGTGGACGTTTACTTCAAATTGAGTGAAAATATTTAAATGTTTATCAATAGTTTTAGAAATCTAGTTAGTTAAAAACATTTTTTTAATTCTTCGTACCATTCCCTTTTCTTCCTTTTATTGGCTTTTGTTTATTTTTCTTCCTGCTCTATTTCATTTATTTATTCTTATTTCCTTTATTAATCTTTGGCTTTACTTGTCTCTTTTCTCTCCCTTTCTTTCCCTTTTTCTGTCCTTTATTTATTGTGGTTTCTCTTTTTTGTGTGATCATTTTCTCTGTCTATTTTCACCTTCGCATCTCTTTCCTCCGGTTCCTGGTGGACAACGGCATTCCGCCATAAGGGTTGCGCAATTCATCACGCAATTTCCACCATTGTAGCAAGGAAGGTTGGAGCAGCCGAACTTCGAAAAAAATATAATCAACCCTCATCATCATCATCATCATGCATCGTCATCATCGTCATCAACATGCATCATCATCATCTTGATCGCCATGCATCATCACCATCACCAACATCCATCACCATCATCATCATCATCATTGTTGCCACCATCCGAAAATGATAATGATAATCATCAGCACCGCCGTCATCAGTATCATATAGAGTTATCACTGACAGATTAAGCCTCTGCCCGTTATAATCAAAAGTTGTTCATCCCCATGCAACACAGGTCAGAACCAGCTCGGGAGCATGGTCAACTTGTTATAAATAAGGTTGGGAAGTTCAGCAAACTGCTGAATAAAGTTGCATGCTCACAAAATTTGATGAAAGTAGTGGTTCTTGTGTTAACTGACGTGGAGTCGGAGGGGATCGAGATATCGAGATTCCCATACTCAAGATAACATGCGGGTAGAGTTTGTAATGTCTTTCCATTAATTCGAGCTCGCTTTTTTAGGGTTCTCTAGTTTTCCTTCCTAACATGCTAAATCCCAATTCATCCAGTGAATTAGCCGTGCCCTGGCTTTAATCAGCCCAGAGGTAGTTTCAGGGTATCGATAAAAAATGTGAAGGTTTTTTAGGAGGAAGAGGAGAAAGGGTGATAAAGAACAGCAAGCACGCATTATCAACAATAAGACTAACAGTCGACAAGATCCAATGAAATATAATATTCAAATATTATGATTTACTTACACTAACTGGCCTCAGTGGACTGTAGATATAGCCTGGTCTTACTTCAAATTTCTCTGATGAAAAATCTCCTTCTTCAACACCATAGTCATTCAGTTCACAGGTACCTCTTGGGCTGCTAATCTCATGATTTATCGATAAACACCAGTCGTTCTGCTGACAATGGAGACCGCACTGAATGAAAGTGGTAGAAGCTAGAGTCCTTCTAGTGTGAGCTTTCAAAGCCACCCCATGTTTGGTAAGGAGAGCTCCTTTAAGATTTTGGAGCAGGCAATCTTCCTTGACTCAAGGTCTTAGCGACCAGAAGCACCGTCACATAGAGCATTGAAAGATATTTCATGTTCGAAGAGTGAGCTTCTCTAAATGTTTCAGTTCAATGTTATGTGGTTTTGGTCTTAAGGCCGTATCGAAGCTTTCTCAACCCCCAGGCTGGTCGTTTATTGCCCCTTTTTAATTGATATCTAGACAACCATTGCATAGACATCACAGAAAACAAGTCGTTAGACATAAACAGAAAACAGAAACTCCTATATAAAACTCAATGTCAGACTAATGAAGATAGTTTGGTCATGGTTTAATAGACCTCCTCGGCTCTGACGTAATATTTTCCCATTTCAGACCACGTGTCATTCCCTAGAGTATCATTTCTTTGTCTAAGGTTTGCGCTCGGTTGCACATGAGAAGACACATGAATATGGATACAACTCAAACAAAGAATCTTATACTCTTGTAAATGACACATGGTCTGGCATGAAATGGGACAACATTACGCTCGAGCGCTCCAGAGCCGAGGAGGTCTATTCGGACCAGTATGTCATTTTTGTTTTTGACTATATTTCTTTCTCTTCCAATATAATTATACCTAAAATATATCATAGAGATAAAGTTCAAACCATCGTTGTTGTTGTTAATTGTCGTTTGTTTTTTCWCCAAAGAAATTTAGAAATATAAAAATTTCCAAGCAGGTTATAAAATGTTTATCCAAAAGAAATGAAACATGCAGTTGCTATGGTGATAGATAGCGATTAGTCGGGTTTCTACAAATTGGTCGTATTTATGTGTTAGTCAATTGGGAACTAATGAAGACTGCCCTAAGGGGTATAACATGGAAGTAAAAACAATAAAATTATTGAATGGTGTCCTTCAGTAGCGATTTGTGAGTTTTGATTGAGTTAAAATAAGGCCTTGCACTACTTTAAAATGATGAAAACTTGGGCGAGATTATTTTAAAATCATGTGATGTGACGCGTGACGTGATCTTGAATATGTCGCGTGACTGTTGGCATTCCAACTGGATGAGCGGCTATGATCTTGCGCACTGTGATTCGATAAAAGTCGTTAATGGAGCGATAGAGTGTCCAACCAAACAATGGATAGTTTTCCCAATGGGATACAGAATGTCCAACCAACAAACTCGAATTCATAAACATTTGGGATGTTATATTTTGCAATGTATCTTTAAAATGCATTTATCCTAAAACACCGAGAGAATTTCGATTTTCAGCAATCGGTGTCTGTTCCATGCTGCATATCAAAACTACATTTTAGCTTTGACATAGCAACAGTAGCTAGGGATATAAAACAATGAATGCTGGATCGGTGCATTCCATACCACTGTGATCGAGAATAGAATGAACGATTGAATTCAGTCATTAGCCAATTGATTTTACTTTAGAGTTCCGGGAAAGAATTTTTTCTAATGTAAAATGATCACGTGATCATCCCGCCGAGATACAGACAGAATACCGAGTGCAGAGACGGGTTCGGGCTGAAATCCCAGTTGCAGTTATCTGGGTACATACGGAAACCCCGGATACCGACGGAAACCCCCAGTACAGACAGAAATCCCGGTACGGACAGAATATCCGCGTACAGATAGAAACCCCGTACGGAAAGAATATATGTAAGTACGGATAGATACCTCGGGTACGCTTGAACAAAATATGCAAGGTAAACCAATTCTTTTTCGAATTCTTTTTTATAATATCTATCCAAACTGAAAATCCATCCAACTGAAATCCATTTTTGAATGAATTAATGATTCTTATTTTTCATGGTCGATTTTGTACCAATAAGCTGCCTGCTATAAATGATCAAAGAAACGATGAAAACCAATGATCAAATAATCGTACTACTTTACGAGGTTTCACAGGCTGCGAGCGTAGGCGGTATGACTAGCTAAAGTTGCCATCGAGTTTTAACCAATCACTGAGATCCTCTATGACATCATCTACCAAAATACACCAATCAAATTCATTCATGGAAGTGGCGCCACTACGGGTTTTAGCGTACAGTGACTAAAAATAGATTTTTTTTCAAAAAAAATTCAGGTGCTTAAAATACGAAAGCCTTACATATAAAAAAATCCTCCATAAAAAAAAAATTATCAATACCCAAATTGGCTTTTTTAAAACCTAGTTTCAAGCATTTTTTCAAGTTTTTTAAAATAATTTTGTAGTAATATATCATATATCATAGTTTGGTAGCTTGCCAGACTCCATCACTTTAGAATTTTTGTATTTTGCATACAAATAAGAGCGTAGGCGTTCTATCTTTTCACTTTTCGGTGTTTCAAAAGCTTCACACTGTCATTCTAGTCGTCAGGTTTTCCGTGATTGCGAAACACTCCTAAGAGAAATACCAAGATGTTTTAAAGGCAGCAAACCGATATTTTTCACGGGTTAAAGTCATGATGGACTCTCGTCCAAGACCGGAATGAGCGTACTTCTCACATCCGAATGAAATTAGTTCGCGAGGACCGACCATCACATCTAGGCCAACATGATTAAATTTACAAGTTTTATTCCAAAGAATATTCGCTTATCAAAGCCGTTCTGTTTGGCTCGTTTCTGGAGCCAAAAGAAGGAAGATAGCGGAGCGGACCAGTGTGGGTCGTACATCAAAGAAGGATATTTGTGGAAAATGAAAGATGGTTTGCCATCACGGATGTGGCGCTGGAAGAAACGCTACCTTGTGCTTTCGGAAGATAGTATCTGCTTCTTGAAGGAAAAAGGGAAGGCCGGAAAGACACCAAAGATTGTCAGAATTCTCGATGTTGTGTCGCTAATGATTGAAGATTTTGGAATTCGAAGGAAAACGTTTGGCATTCGGTTGAAAGCTGGTAATGACAGAGATTCGTTTCTCTTGAGATGTCGAAGTGAAGACGAGAGAAATGACTGGGTTACAGCAGTGTTGACCGCCAAGTCTGCAAGCTTGCTTACTGACGAGAGCTAGAAACAATAAACTAAATTTAGCTACACTAATGGAAGAAATGCAACTTTCTATTTTATTAAAACTTAAAGAACATGTATAATTGTAAACCTGTATGTTAGCCGTGCCCTGACTTGGATCACTCAGAGGGCCGGGGCCGTATCGATAAAATTTAAAGATTTGAAGAGCAGAGCAAGATGAACTCTTTCTTGGAAACAATGAACGACAGTTGCTAAGCTATAAAACAATATCTATGGTTGCTGGAAAACATAAACCATTTACAAGTATCTCGTTTTTATAGTTAGCTATTCTTGTTATCAATTCTGCTAAACACACAAAAGCTGCTAATAGAGAATTATTTTTGTCTTACTCAAAGGAATTATGACTGAATTTATGAAATAATAAATTAAAGGCAAAATTTATTGAACATTTAAAATAAAACTGGATACTTTTAACATTTTTAGGAATTCAAAAAACAGCGTACTGGAATTACCATGCGAAAAAGTATTATATTTTTATTCCTTTTAAGAACCAGTTTTAGTTTATTGGTGAAAGTTGAAATTTAGAATTGTAAAAAAGGAAAGAATTTCAGTGGACAAATGAAATATGAATAACCTGAAATTCATCCTATAAGTATTATAATTTCGGAATATTATATGAGAAGTATATAGTAATTCAATTTCTTAGTTTATAGGAAAAAAATGTTTTTGTGATTTCACAGATAATAGAATCGTGTTTCACGATTGTTGTGAGCAAAAGTAACACAAGTGATAAAATACAAATGCAGAATTTCAATTAAACTAGCTCACTGCTAGTTCTAGAACAAGCTGTTCACCTGAGACCTAATAATGTACGTATAATGAATGTAAGTTTTTGAAAGTAGTTTTTAAATAAAACTGACTAAGCATCGAGGAGCCACTCAGGTTGAATACAGACTCAATGAGTTTAACTTGAAGGATTCACATCGTCCATCAATCAGTTTTTTTCCCTAAAAAAAGAGTGAGAAAAATGAAAAAGAAACGAAAAAAGTTTTTTTTCAGGAACGGCTGCAGACAGCGAAAAAAAAAAGAAAAGAAAAGAAAAGAAAGAAAGAAAGAAAGAAAAAGATTTATTTTCCCAAACAAAAGTGTCTGTCGTTTCTCTGTATTTACGATATACATATAGAATATATTCGAGCAGAATATTGGACATTTCATTTTTCATTGAATATTTCAGTTTTTCTAAAGGTTGTCAAGTACAAACATGAATTCAAAGATGCCACATCATGCATAGTTGGAAGATGGCCTGATAAATCGTTAAGTTCAAACCGGCGTGGGCGTTAAGACACTAAAATACAATCCTGCATTTTAATTAGGGAAGGTACTTTGTTTTAGGGGGGGAGGTCTGGGGAATTGGCAGTAAACTCGAAATAGAAATAAAAAATTTTTGTAGCCCCCCCCCCCTCCCCCTGAGTAAAAAAATTATGACCATCTATTAGTCAATAAGGATATACTTTTATCAAAATAAAAAGGTTTATTTGACCCTGTCAGCAAACAGCTATGAAAACTACGAACAGAACTAATGAATTTCCGTTGGACTGCTAAAAATAGAAAGAGGTATAGTTTTGAATCCTAGAATCGTAGATGGCGGGTTGTGTCAGACAGGTGTTCGTGCCTTTGTTATGTTGTAACTTTCTAATTGAGGATTTTACGCAATCTCAACATTTTGCAATTACAATCGCCGGGTTATTGATAGATCGATCGCATCTGATTTTGAATAGAATAGAAAATCTACCACTGAGAAGACCTGTGTTGGCATTGTTAAAGATGTAACGAACGAATAGATTAGTTGTGTCGGCATATAAAAGAAAGAAAAAAATATTTGTTGGTTGTGTCCCTTGATTCGAGGGTCTTTCTACGAATTTCCGGGCTTCTTCATTAAAACTTTGATATGCTAAATCCCAATTCTATCTGTGAGTTAGCCATGCCTTGACTCAGATTAGCCCAGAGGTTGTTTCAGGGTTCTATCTGTGAGTTAGCCGTGCCGTGACTTAGATCAGCCGGCCAGAGGCGGTTTTAGGATTTCATAGAAATCGAAAATTCAAGGTTTTATCTTGGCTAAATATCGTGGAAATACAATTATTTTTTAACATTATGCCAGGTTTTCGAGCGATAACACGTTGCTAATAATTTATAATTCATAGTGCGCAAATATCAATTAGAATATAAAAAATTCAAATGCGCATGCGTAGCTAAAGGACGTAGTTAATTAACTAACAACGAAAAAGTCTTATAAATAAAAATGAATCATGAAAATTAGAATCGTCCTGAATCAATATCTTGCCCACCTTTTTCAGTGAGGAATATAGCGCGGTGTTATTGGACAGCAGACGCACTCGTTTTAATGTAAAGTCAAAATTCAAAGATGCTAGCACAGATAGCCCATGCTATTCTTCTTCGATGCTAAAATGCTTGAGTTGCAACGTATGTCCATGGCCAGAAATAAAGCTAATGTGATCCATTCCTCATCCTCTGGCTAAATCAAATAAAACCCTCAAAAGGAAAATCTTCGAAAAATTACTCACATTTGAAATAATTTTTGCTATTTCGACCTAAAAAATTTACAAAACATAATAAAACCGATGACAACGAACAAGAAAGGCCAAAAGATAGCATGAAAAAGATCGCTCACGTGACTGTCTCGATTAAGTATGACTTGTTGCTGGTCAGCGGGGTTAAAGTAACAAGCGACCTGGTCACTATGGTTACGGAATTTGCTGGTGAAAGACTCGACAGCTTGTAGATTATCTTGGTAATTCCTTTTACATGGAGGGCCAATGGAACACTGTCAAACAATAAAAAAGAAGTTTTAGCTTTTTAGTTGAATATTGTTTTTCTTTTCCTTGGACTGCTTTTTTAAAAATTTGCTTTAATTTTTTAAAGAAATTCGATTCTATTTCAACTTATCGCTTTTGTCTCGATTGGGCTCCCTGTGGAGTAGTTCTTTTACGTCTTCAAAGAAACATCTAAATGGCGGGGGAAGGGTATTTTGCTGCATACTGAGTCCAGCAATTCCATTTTGCCTTTCCGAAGTTCGAAGATAAACCGGTTATTGCATACGATTGTCGGGATAAGATCAAAAAGGAAAATGCCGCCTTATGATCATGGCCCTGTGCATAATATAGTTCGGACGTCCATTCTCTACTTTCACATCCCCATAATACTTTGCGTCTTTGGGGGGTTACCAGAGGGTAAAAACCCACTTATTTTGCTGAAGGTTGATCAGACAATGTTGACAATGCCTTGT